AGAAATTATCTTGTAGTCCTCATTTTCTTTGTTGTATCAGCAGAAAGTTCTTTTTACTGAACTGACGATGAATACGGCTCATTTCACCTGAGGATAGGACGTAAAGTCAGGGATCTGTACACCCAAATTGGCTTCTCTTGCTGTAAATTGTGAATCGTATAAAATTGAATCAATTCTAATATTGAAGATCCAACTCACCCCATGTGGCTGTGTATGTTTGCAGAAACATTCACTAATCCCTTCATCCCTATCAACATTCAGTGCTCTCCTCTTAGTATAGTTTTCTGTCCTACCGGTACAGTATTCCAAATTTTTTTATGTGAATAGAACCTATGGGGTCAAGAGCCCCAAATTTTGCCTTCAAAGCTGATGGAATTCGCATCTTGAAAAGAGCCGGATTGGAATTGGAAATACTGTGCCCTGCTCAAGGGTTTCCTCTACCATCCTTCAGGTAGTCATTTTGGACCCATATTATCTCTATTGTCATTTTTTTGTCAGATTTTAGTTTCCTGATCACTCTGACTCCACATTCAGTGAAGACAATCGGTTTTAGCCTCTTGTCCTCTCCAAATTGTTGTAGCTACAGTCTTTTTTTGCGCTCATCATTAATGGTCAGTTTCTAGTGGATTCAAGATTTTTGCAGAAAAAGTATGCTGCTCTTTCATGGTATTTCTATTCGATTTTCTCTCTGAAGGTGCCCTTCCCCCCGCCCCAGGCCTCTACAGATAAAGTTTGGGTATAATGCGTATTTGGTGCCAAAACGTCGCCGAAAAACAAAAAATTACTGTTACATCCTAATTATTATCCAAAGATCAACTTTATGAGAAGTATGACGTTTGAGTATATTACTTTTTTTAGAACCTGTTGGTTTAAAAGCACCAACTTTTTCATCTGAGACTGATGGCGTTCGATTGAAAAAAAGTGCCGGCTCAGGTCTGAGTCTATCTTGTCAGGCACAAGGGCTCCCCATTCCTTCTGTCAGGTACAGTCCATCAAATTTTCAAGTTTATCTTACTTCATTGCTACGATTATTTGTTCAATAAAGAACCTGTTGGATCCAAAGCTCCAGTTTTTTCAATCGAAGATGGTGTTCATGCCAAGAAAAAAGTGGGCTCTGCTCTTACATTACCCTGTCAAGCTCAAGGATTTCCTGTACCATCCACAAGGTACATCGATTTTTTTTTTTTTGCAGTCTACACTTTTTCAAGGCACTGTGTTCGTTGTTTACTCTGGTCGTATCAATTTTTACTTTTATTTTCTTGGTAGGTAGCTGGCTTCAAATAAGACTTTCAAATATATCTTTCGACAGTCTAAGCCTGTTGTATGAGGTATTCATCAACATAAGCTCTGTAGGAAAACTCTGAAAAATGGTCATTTTTCAAGAGATTTCAGTGTTGAAACAGCTTATTTGGTCCAAAATATTCCTAAGAAACAAATGATTTAACAGCTGAATTTTTTGAGTCTGTAAAATGGTATGTCGTATCTTGTCTTGGCTCGCTACCGTCGCTACCCCATCATGAAGGCTTGCTGAAGAAAATTACCACTGAGCGATAATGATCTATTCTTTATCTGTGTCAGAGCCGATTGGTTTCAAGAAACCAGCCCTCTCCTCTGAATCGGAGGCTTCAAGGTTTACAAAAAAATCTGGTCGGAGTATCAGTCTTCTTTGCGAGGCTCAGGGGTCCCCGGTTCCATCTACAAGGTACAGAAACTGTTCCCTCTTCCTTCATCACCGCACACAAATTATCTCCATCGTTATTACTATCATTTTTCTCCTATTTATCCTTCGAACCTTTTTTTTAGCACTAATTTCTCCACATAAAAGTGTCTTTTTCCCATCATTTGATAATCTGTCATTTCCATACCAACTTGGATTTAATACAAGTGTCTGTCCTCTGTCAGAACCTATTGGTTTCAAAAAACCTGCGCTCTCAGTGGAAACTGAAGCCCTGAGGTTCACACGACGATCTGGCCGAGATTTTGGACTTCTGTGTGAAGCACAAGGGTTCCCTGTCCCTTCAACAAGGTATCATTTTATTCCTGAGTTTTATGTGAAATCATTCAAATGCAATGAAATCGGAGAGGCTGAAAGTTTAAAATTTTGCACTTTTTGAGTGCTTGTCGCACTATTTTTCTTCAAAAGAATATGTTTTTGCCTTACATTAAGCTCAGTCCAGGTGATTTAGTTTTGCACTGGTCGTTTGCCCCATCTTGAACCATTATAAGAAAAATCATCATTCTCTTCCTTAATTTTTGTTGGAAAATCCAGAGCCAGTTGGATCTAGAGCGCCGAAATTTACCATAAACATGAAATCAGTGTCCTTTGACTTGGTTGCCGGTCAAGGTGCTAGCCTATTGTGTCAAGCCCAAGCATTCCCTCTGCCATCTTTTCGGTAAATCTTCCATTTTTTCTTAAATATCTATTAAAATTTAGCAATTAGCTCCATTAGCTTTGGTCTTTGAGCACTGAAAATCAACCTCTCATGACAGAATCCAATGTACCAGGTTTCTGTACGTGCTGATGACATTAAGGAAATCTAAATACATATCATGTCGGACCCAAACCTAAACATTCAGGTTTCAGATGATGATTAATCAGAATGGCAAGCTCTTTGCTCCGAGTCAGTAGTAGTTGGTCAATTCAGCTGTAAGATTCTCATTTTGTTCTCTGAATTTAGAACCTGTTGGCTCCAGAGCTCCAAAATTCACCTCAAATCTCAAGTTGGTTTCCTTTGATTTGCTCGTTGGACAGGGTGCCAGTCTACTTTGCCATGCCCAAGCCTTTCCTGTTCCTTCTTTTAGGTAACTCCACTCTTGGCTCAGAATCTTTTCCCGTAATAGATGAGCCTTTATTAAGTTTCACTGTTTTGGCAAAAAAGGTGTTCTTGCCTTAATTTCTTGCTGTTGAGAAATTTTGACTCTGAAACCCACCCAACATTTCAGACTTTAGATTTGAGTATGTTGTTTTTGTTTGACGCATTTTATTGATCTGTTCTGGTTCTTACACAGAGCCCGTTGGCGCTAAGGCACCATCTTTTGCGAATGATTTAAAAAGTCAAACACTTTCTCGAGCTCTTGGTCAGAGTTTTGGATTACTGTGTCAAGCGCAAGCCTTTCCTTTACCATCTTCAAGGTTTGTCTTCTTTGAAGTGTAATCAAGTAAAAGTATTAAGAGGTTCCATTCTAAGTCTATTTTTCCTCTATTTCGATGGGAGGAAGTGTCTGGTTAATTCGTGAAGATCTCTTCATTTTTTTGTTTTTTTTTCTGCTGCAAATCTGCTCTCGATCATTATTTCTTGGAAAAATCTCTTAATTTTTTGGAGCATTTTGCAAACGCATTGAGTAAATTATTCTACATGTGGAATAATTGTCACTAAAGTGCTTTTAAAATTCTTAGGTTTACTTATATGCTTCCTCAATTATTCAGAGATGTAAAATGATATCAAATGGTTCTGAAAGATTACTTTCTGAAGTCTCTTTCAACAGTTGTACAAAGTCAAAAATTCTTTTTTGGAGGTATTGAAGAACTTTAGTCTGGTGAATTTTTACCAGACAACATTTCTTCAATTTCAGTAGGTAGACTGCTGGGTATTTCAGGTTGTTTGTAACTTTGTTCCAACATTCAGATCTTCAAGTTGCTGACAAAAAAGCTAACCTTACAATTTTAAGTGAAAAATATTATTTTTCCTGGTACTCAGAACCTGTTGGAGCCAAAGCACCTACTTTTGCGACTGACGCAAAGTATCAAGGCTTCACACGAGCTCACGGCCAAAGTTTTAGTTTGCTGTGTCAAGCGCAGGCTTTCCCTTTGCCTTCCATCAGGTTGGTAATAATTTTTAAAGATCTGGTTGTGCAGTTGTTGTAAGTTTGGAATCTGGAGGTTTCTTTATTTTAGCATGAGGTGGATTAAATGACGAATTGGTTCAAGAAAAATTTTAGGTATTTTTTTTAGCCCCCAAACATTCATGATGAGGGCAAATCTCCTCAATATATGGTTTCTCGACATAGCTCTTAGACATATTTAAATGAAATGTGAGATTATGAATTAATTTTCGTTTTATTCGTAGGAAGCAAATAACCTTCAACTTTTGAGAACTCGCGGCTCTTAAGAATTCAAATTTCATCAAAAAAATTCATAATTATGCAGTGAGGTAACTTCCTATCCTGTCCTCCTATCTATCCTTTTTTTTTATTGTAAATTACAGTTTCATTTTTCCCAGCGTCACCCATCTTTCTTCTGGGCATCACAAATTTAGTTCAAGCGTTTACTTTGTTCATTTTAATACTAATGCATTACCTGCAGCTATGGGCCAGAGTGGTTTGTTGAAAGTTGCTATCTCTATTTTGAATTGTTTCTTTGTTTTCTCGCTATTTCTCTGCACTAGGAGGTTCCTAAAATTTTAACAGCTGAATTTCCTCCTTTTCCGTAAAGGGAGTCGTGTAAATTTTCCCTCTTATTATTCCATCATTCAGAGTTTCTTTTTCTTCTTCTTTTATGGTATATCTTCACTCCAATGATCTTTTCCAAATGATTTACACCTTCTTCAGAACCAGTCGGAGCTAAAGCACCAACTTTTGCATCGGACTCCAAAGGTCATATTTTTTCACGCTCAAACGGTCAAAGCTTCAGCCTCCTTTGTCAGGCTCAGGCACATCCTTTACCCTCATTCAGGTTTGTCACCTCATTTGCAAAAACTGCAATTCCGTATTAGTCCATCAATTTAACCTTTATCGCAATACTCGTATGATTTTAACCCTCAGAACCTGTCGGAGCAAAGGCACCAACTTTTGCTACAGACATTAAAGGCCTTATTTTCTCACGTCAGAGTGGTCAAAGTTTCAGTTTACTTTGTCAAGCTCAAGGGAACCCTGTGCCATCAATCAGGTCAGTTTACCTTACCCTAGATTTAGGTCTCCACAGTTTATGGTCTCTCTCCTTTGGTGATGCTAGCAAATCAGTCTCAATATCTTTGACTGGATTTTTTCTTTTTTAAATGTAGAACCTGTAGGAGCAAAAGCACCAACATTCGCAAGTGACTCCAAAAGTCATACTTTTACTCGTGCTAATGGTCAAAGCTTTGCGTTACTCTGTCAGGCTCAGGCAATTCCTTTACCTTCATTCAGGTTTGTAACGTCTTTCCAAATCAAGTCATTAATTAGGTTGAAAATGCCAATTTTGAAATTGGTGATTTGATATTTTTTGGCTTAGCAATTGGTCTTGCGTAACTGTATTGGTTCTATTTATTTAACCATGCTCATTGCTATTTTAGAGCCTGTTGGCGCTAAAGCTCCTGCTTTTCCAACGGAATCCAGAGTTCAGACTCTGTCTCGGGCCGAAGGTCAGAGCTACAGTTTATTGTGCTTAGCTCAGGCATTTCCGCTTCCCTCAATCAGGTTCGTTTTATGATTGTTTCATTCTTTCTAGAACCTTGGTTTCAAATCGAGACAAATGTGAAAATTGAGGATAAAAGGTTGAATTTGGAATTTCAGGAATTTGAAATTACCTGGTATCAAAAACCGCAGCAGTTTATATACTTTTCTCATCTCAACAGCTTCTTTATTTTTTCTAATCCTTTGTCTTCCTCCAATAGTGTCAAAAATTTGGAAAATCGTTGAGATCTTCCAACTTCTTCAAAATATATGTAAACTTTTTTTGCACTTTTTTCTTGACATTTACTATTTTTAGCCCCTCTCCATTGATCAGAAGTTTACTTTCCCTATCACAAAAATCAAGCTCAAACCATCAGAACTTCGATTTGATATCAACCTTGCAACAACTTTAGAGATCTCAATTTATGGGTTAAAATTCACATTATTCAGATTTAGGTGCTTTTAAGAAAAGAGATGTGATGACAAATCATGAGCTCAGCGAAGCACAAACTTTTCAAATTCCTCTGGCGACCTCCCTCTCACCATCTGATAATATGTGGAAATCAGTGATTTATGAAACCTCAAGAAGGGTGATAAATTGGTTCGTAAGTTTGGAGGATAGTTTTACTCTTCAGTCGTCCATCTCCGGATTGTGCCCGTTTTGCGCATTCAGGGGAACCCTCTCTTCTCATCATTTTATTAACTTTTTTTTAAATAATAATTGTGACCATCGTTTAAATAAATCAATATGAATTTATCCAGAGCCTGTAGGTGCCAAAGTTCCCACTTTTGCAACGGACGATAAGATAAATTCATTTTCACGCCCTGAAGGCCAAGGTTTTGGTTTACTGTGTCAAGCGCAAGCATCGCCTTTACCCTCATTCAGGTCTGTTCTTTAGGCTCCTCTATTCTTTTTATCAAACTAGGTTGCTTTAAATCTCATATTTGTATATTTTTTCCTTTTATACCTCCTTATAAGTTCCACTCCCTGATTAATCTCTGTTCTCTTAGACTCTGCCCTCTCTGATTTCTTAATTAAATTTTTACGCGGCATTTTTTTAAGAAATCAAATCAATCCTAATTATTTTCTTCATCCTGAAGTCCCAATTCAATTCATTGAATTCACCAAGGAGCTACGTAGGTAATGAACTTCGGTCAAAATTAGTCGGTTCAGGGTTGTCCTCGCCTTATCTTTAAAATTTTTTATTTATACATTTTTTGATTTGGTAGAACCGGTCGGTAGAGTTCCACCTAAGTTTCCTAAAACTGCCAAAATTGCGACGTTTGATGGAATGGTGAACAGTCAGATCACCCTTTTGTGCGAAGCGCAGTCATTTCCTACAGCTAATTTCAGGTAACCTAGTTCAAATACAACTGAATAGAGACTCGCAAAAGGGGAAACAAGTATCCGAAAAATCATTGATAGAAGTTAAAAGAAATCTGCAGAATATTTGTTTTGTTTTGTGGCATACCTCTATAGTAATTGGTCCGTAAGACGCTCAGGCTTCTACTCAATCAAGTGAGTTATAATTTTTAATCAGAATTTTCAATTTTGACTGTAAACCCTTCTTTTTGATTTCATCTTATCAGAACCTATCGGTAGAGTTGCTCCTAAATTCCCTCAATCGGCCAAATCAGATTCGTTCGAAAGAATGATGGGCAGTGAAATCAGTTTGTTATGTGAATCGCAGTCATTTCCACTGGCAAATTTTAGGTAAGCATCTGGGAAGGAGTGCAGCTGGCGTAGAATTTGGGTGGTTGCAAAATCTTTTTAAGCCCTCTAGTGTGAGGATCTTAAAGGAATATTACTTTCTGACAAAAAATAGGTACGGTTTTGATGCAAAAAATCGCTTGACAGCAGTTTTAGTAAGTAGCATTAGTACTTCGTCTCCTCAGCTTGTAACTCAGTAAGAAACTAATCAAGTAGGTCCGATGCACTTATCGGAGACAAGGATTCTCGCTTAATTATATTTGAAGTGAACAATTTTGTCCACTGGAGTTTAGGTTTGGGATGCAGGATTAAGGTTCCAGACCTTGACTAGATTTTTCTGCGTATCCCTCCTAACTCCCATGACCATTGAATAATGAGCATAGAGGTTTCATTTTTTACGCACTATCTTTTTTCAACCTTTTCATTTTACGAAAAGCTTTTTTTCAATTCTGGCACCCGTAGTCAATTTTTGCTTGGGGTGCTTGGCACCTCTGTAGAACCGCCTGTTATAACAGTATAGGTTGAGTTATCTTTGTCAGCGGCTATTAATTCAGGCACAAAAAGGGATACCCTATCTTTTTAAATTTAGAAACAACATTTTTCATTTATAATTGACTTTAATGGTCCTGTCATCAGAGCCAGTAGGTAGAGTTCCTCCGAAGTTCCCTAAATCTGCCAAAATTGACTCATTGGAAGGGACAGTCGGGAAACTTATCAGCTTATTGTGTGAAGCACAGGCTTTTCCTATGGCAAATTTCAGGTAAGCTTTTAGTCTTGATGTGCTGTAGAATCCTATCATTCATGGGCCCTTCCAAGAATTATTCGACCGAGTTTCTCTCTTTTGACAGAGTCCTGTCTCGTTTTCCACTTTCAAATATTCATAAAAATCACATGCTGAATAACTTCTTACAGAGAATAGGACTCTGACACAAATATTCTAGTAGTTTCTAGAGGGAGAAAAAAAAACTAAGGAGATTTTAAGGCAATGTCGTTTGTATAGTCACAAGTTTTGGTTCATTTTTTCGTATTATTAATTTTAGGCTGTCCCAGTCGCTATTACATTCTTTTCTTATTGTGTTGTCGCGGCAACCTGCAAGTTCTCTAAGGTGTTAATAACGCTGTCTCTTGCAATAGTGGTATATTAAGTCTTCAATTGTAGTACTCTCTTACTTGAGAAATCGCACCTTGACTCTTCTCTTTCTTTTTTCACTCATCCTCAAAATTTTGCTGTAGAACTGTCCTGTGTTACAACCTCTAAAACTATATTCCTTCATTACGCGTCTAAATTAGAAGGAAACTTACTACCGCTGTGAAGGTCAACAATCAGGCATCTACAGTGATTTTTTTCTTTCAACTTGATTTAAACATGGTTTCCCACTTAATTACAGAACCAACAAATAATATTCCCCCAAAACTCTTGGGCAAAAAGTACGATGGTGGCGAAATTGTCTTTTCAACTGTCTCGGAGCCGATATTTTTGCTTTGTCAAGTCACAGGGTTCCCTCTCCCATCTTTTTGGTAAGGTGAAATTCCAGCATTCAGGGTTCTTTCCTTCCAAAGATTGACATTACTCGTCGGGAAAGACATGGAGTGTGTTCTTGACCACAGTTCAACGGATATTCAGCAATATTTTTGTTAAGCGCAGTAATATCCACAAATAATGAGACCTCTCTGTCAATTTAGTCTCACCAGATTATTTTCGAAAAGGTTCGTAACTTCTAGAGTGAGCTTGACTGTAAGCTTGAAGTGGATCCTAAGAGTCATTTATAAAGGCATATCCCTTGGTTAAAAGCACACTCTGTGATTTTTGGTCACTTTGTTGTGCCAGTATTTAATTCGACATTAAATCATTTTCTTGAAAATTATTTCATGGTGAAATAGAACCGTCTAGCAGTGTTCCACCTAAACTCTCTGAAGGTCGCCTTCATGAAAAGACTGTCAAAGCTGGTGTACGGTCTACGTTGTTTTGCACAAGTCAAGGCTTCCCTGTGCCAAATTTTCGGTAAGCCATGGAAATGAAGGTGTCGACTATTCCAATATTCAAGGCTCTTGTCAATCGCACTGATATATTCATATCCATTATCTGTGCATTCTACAGAACCCTCGAGCAGTGTTTCGCCAAAACTCTCTGATGATCGGCTTCATGAAAAGACAATTAAAGTTGGTCTCCGATGTTCATTGTTTTGTACCAGTCAGGGTTTTCCAGTCCCCAGTTTCCGGTAAGATTAATGCCGATACTGGATAAAAGAATAGTCCTATCACTTTCAGTCGAGAGATGGAATGGTAAATCTACAGATTAAGGAGAATTATCATTACTCTCATGTGAGTTCAGGAAAATGTAAATTGCAGGGATCCTTGTTTATTGCCAACAGGACCATTGTCATTGACATCACATACGATGATTGCAATCGTAAATGTTAATAGTATTTAGCTCGAAATTTGATTATCTAGCATTATTCAAACACATGTTTTAAGTACTTCAAACGTTGTGTATGGATCTATTTCCAGAAAAATGAAATACTTGGAAACCTTGAATTTTTAGGATGGGGTATTTACAGACCTAGCACTCTTTCTTTCTAAAATTTCAACATTTTCATCATGAGAATTAAAAAAATTGACTCTTTTGTAGTTAAAAACTAAAAAAATAAAAAATTCAACCTGAAGACTCACATAGTGAAGCTTAAATATAATGATGCATACAGATGCTTGAATGGAGAAACTTTCTCAGGGTTTATCAGTTTAAGAAAAAAATAACATCAGATTAGGGCAAACATGACGCTAAAGGCAAAAAACCTTTTGAACTTGTTGTTCTTTTCGTGCAATTTTTCTAATTTTGGACATTGAATCCTTCATCATCTCAAAACTTTTGCAAGGAGATGCTCTGCTTGTGTTACTGACTCTGATCAATGTATTTTTTTCAAAATTCAAAAATTGTACTCAAAAATCAACAAGTTCAAAGGGGTCAAAAAGAGATGAAACTAACAGAAAAAATTACTTTTTCAGGTGGTATAAATTTGTTGATGGGACCAATCGGAAGCACCTCGTGACACTTGACGATCGAGTAAAGCAGGTCAGTGGGACTTTGATCATTCGAGAAGCAAAAGTAGAGGACTCTGGCAAGTACCTGTGCGTTGTCAACAACTCAGTCGGAGGGGAAAGTGTGGAGACAGTTCTAACAGTAACAGGTGAGTATCCATGGCCAAACAGAAAATTAAGTGCTGAGCAACAACCTTTTATATGTTTTGAATATTTCACATGGTTTACTCTAGTCGATTGTTTGCTTTTTACATTAAATTTTTACTTTCCTGTGCTCCTTTTATTCTACTTTCATTAAAAATTAGTAGCGTCTATTCTTGCCTATCTGTTATTACTATTATGTGCCGTCCATGAGGAAGGTTGCAGGAACAGACAAGTAAGTGGGAACATCAGGAAAAATTCCTGTCAGCAGGGCAATATTTAGGGTGATTTTGGACCCGCTCATATCCTTTAAAGTAAGTAAAAGATCAGTAAAAGAAGCTGGTCAAAGCATTGGTGAGCCAATATTCCCGGTTATTTTTGTGTCCCAGCCAGCTCTTGGTAGAAGGCAATGTGATATATATTCTACTCTTAACATTTTTCTTAAAATTTTGTACATAACCTTATTCTAAATCCAACTCTAAACGCTAACCTGAGGTCACTTGACCTGTCGGAGGTATTTGATGTCAATATTTTTCTCTTTTTCTGGTAACATGTAAGATGAAATTTCTTGCTATGAAGTTCAAAAGTGAGTTTGATAATCATCAGAATTCATCTCTTGATCAAAGTTTAAATTAAAATCAATTTACATTTTTTTCTGAACCGTTTATTTTTTCTTTACAGCTCCTTTATTTGCCGGAGTAGAACCAACAATACAAACAGTAGACTTCGGACGGCCAGCATCCTTAACGTGTAATTATAAAGGAAACCCTGTAAAAACAGTTTCTTGGATGAAAGATGGAAAACCACTTCTGGGACATGAGGGCCCCACTTTGAAGATTGACTCGGTCCGAAAAGAAGACAAAGGCATGTACCAGTGCATCGTCCGCAATGAACAGGAAAGCGCACAGGCTGTTGCTGAAATCAAGCTTGGTGGTCGATGTGAGTATTTTTTTTTACAGATATTGATATTGAGATAAGAATTTGAGCACAACAAGAAACGTTTATTATCTCTAGAAGTAGCAAATATATACTATCAGTTTTCAGAAAACTTTTTTAGAAATATAATATTTAATAATAATTTAATTACTCGAAATTTACAGTTTTTTTTTAAAAAAAGCAACAAAATAATAATGCCTGTCAAAGTTTTCCTTAAGCTTATATTCATATTCAAATTGTTTTCTCCTTATTCCACAGTCGATCCTCCAATTATCAAACATGCATTCTCTGAAGAAGTTCTTCAACCTGGACCATCAGTATTTTTAAAGTGTATTGCAACTGGAAACCCAACTCCTGAGATAACATGGAAACTGGATAACAAAAAATTGTCTAACACAGACAGGTATGGATTCAACAACTTGATTTACCTCTTGATTCAATCATACATTTACTTTTTTTTTTATGAGGGGAAAAATTTGCTACAGTGCCTCCATCATGAGGGTCGCCGAAACGCCCCCATGAAAGGGGCCCACCGAATACCGGGACAGCAGCGGCCATCAGCCGTTGAAGAGCAGCTGAAGCGACCCCTAACCGGAACTGTGAGATGGAAAAACCCGGTTATGTAGGGTCGGAGCACACCGCCGTGTTCTGGACCCATAAAACGACCCCTCCAGACCACATCCCGTGCAAGTGCGGCCCATCGGGCGCTCTATCCTCCTGTCGGATGTCCCTAAGCCAATACATTTACTATTAGAAAGAACATTTTGTAAGGCATAACATCTTTGATCTAAAAAAATAGTGTCGGATTTATGTATTCCAAACATAATCTGTAAACTTCAAACTCTTCAAAGATAGCTAATTCATAATGTGGTTGTGGGTTATTTTGATAAATACTTCCTTCATGAGGAGAATTTTACAAGTCTTTTCACAGTGACTTTTATTATCATTTTGGTATCTGGTGAAAAATATAATAAGCATTAATGCTACATTGTTCAGCTCATCTTATCATTAATTAGAGCCATGTGAAAGCAATATATGATCCTGGAAGAGATTAGTACAGTTTTAATTCTGTTCTTTGATGAACGAACTTGGGAATTAATGTCTTGGCATTGAGTTTGAGTAATGTGATCAACAACCTTTGCATTTTACTTAAAGAAAAAGAAAAACATTTACCTTGACCAGCCTATAGCTTTCGAATGTCTAATGTGTGTAATGAATATTTTCAGGCTGCAAGTTGGGCAGTATGTAACAGTCAATGGTGACGTTGTCTCACATTTAAATATCACATCTGTTCACACGAATGACGGTGGTTTGTATCGTTGTATTGCAACAAGCAAAGTAGGATCAGCGGAGCACTCTGGACGACTGAACGTCCACGGGCTGCCATTTATCAGGCCAATGGAAAAGAAAGCAATTGTCGCTGGAGAAACGCTTGTAGTTACCTGTCCTGTGGCTGGATATCCCATCGAAGCAATAGTATGGGAACGAGGTGGGTATATCTAACTGCAAACAATTAGACATTTGTTTGCAGAACTAAGGACGTTTGATGGATTAAAGCATTTACCATGACGACATACTTAAAATTCATTTGGACTAACTTCACCTGAAAATTTATGGAGATGTATTTAATACGAAAAGTAAAAAAATTAGTTCTCACTAATCCAGGATGTCTACTATCAGTAAAAACTGGAAAAACAGGAAAATATCAGGAAAATTGGTCATGGATCAGGAAATTCCAAGTGTGTCTAGCATTTTTCAACTATGTGCAATTAGCACATGCAGAAGTGAAACATTTTATTCAATTGATTAAAACAGTTGGTCTATTAAATCAAACTAGTGTCAATTTGGCCCTGCAAAACGTTAGGAAATTTCATGTAAAATATCAGGAAAATATCAATCAAATATGAAATGAAATTCTAGTAGACACCCTGCTATCAACTCTGAGAAGGTGAAAATGACGTGTGTTGATCAACCTAGATTTTGGTAATCAGGATTTGTTCATTTAACAGTGGTCAAGAAAATTTCATAAAAAACTCAATGAAAATTTCTACCAATCATAACATGACTATATTCTCTGGCAGTCAAATTGGCGGGTCAAACTCAGATTATATCTCATGAATTGGCACACGAGCAAACCGCCTTCTATTGTTTGGCGGGGTCCTCAATTACCATCCAGTGCATAGCAAGGCCTGACTCATGTGTCAATTCATATGTCAATTCTTGCCTTTGATCCTTTGACCAGCTTTGGCTGACGGGTAGTATATTGACCGCTAATTCTCAAAAAGTAAGGATTCTCCCCATTGAACTAGATGACACTGAAAAGGACAAACTCAAACATCGACTTTTGAAATCTCATCAGTTCGCTCACTTTATTTTAATAGCAGACAATTGCTTAGGAGCTTTGCTCCATCTTCAGCTCTCATCACGACTCTGAGTTAGAATTGCTAAGTTACAAGCAATGAGTTGGAATCGTTAGGCTGCTTTTTGGCGTCAGTCCCTATCATTTACCTATCCTCTGAATTGAATTGTGAGTATCGCAAGCTAGGCTCATAAAATTTTTAGAAAGTATAGAATGTAGGCATCTGAAATGCATTTACCTATACTTATTGAAATCTAAGCATGATTCTCAATTGTAATTCAAAGCTTCAAACATTTTGACTTAAAAGGTTACTTTTTTTTAAAATTAACTTATTATGATAAGCTCCTTGATTTAAAAGATATTTTAATAACTTGTGGCTGCCGCTTCTAGATGGACGTGTCCTGCCCATCAATCGAAAACAAAAAGTCTTCCCTAATGGTACATTAATCATTGAAAATGTTGAGCGCTCCACCGACCAAGCATCATACACCTGCGTCGCTCGCAACTCACAAGGCTATAGTGCAAGAGGCACTTTAGAACTTCAAGTAATGGGTAAGTTATCTTATCCAGACTCAGAAGTATTAAAGGTTTTTGAGTTACTTCCTTTAGCTCAATCATCTCCCATAAAAAATTGAAATTTCTGGGAACTTGTGATACTTTTGAGATGGAATTCCCTATAGTTTAAACTGATCAACACCATAAAAAATCCTCTTGATAGTATGCATTCTGTTAACAAATTGACTTTGAATTTCTGGCAACAATTGCAGACACACCAATTTTGTTTGAATCCTCGAGTGAAAAAATGGAGGAGTAACAAACAGGTACTTCCTGTGATTTTGAGAAGCATGATTCTGAGGCCTGTAAGTTAATGACTCTATTGATACTATCGTGGCAGATCTGAATAACAAGAATTACAAGGTCAGTACGAAAAAAAGTACCTGTGCAGTGAATGTGTTGCAAGTAGGGAACAAATTATGGCCTAATATATGACCCCAGAAAATGGCCGAAATGATTTTGATTCTGTTAATTTTAGTCCTCTTAATATAATAAGACTAGGGTAGTATTTTGATGTACCTCTTTTGGTATTCACTAGACATTTGTATGCACATGAAACTGAATTTAAATCAGTTTAAAATGCTTTCTCAACTTCCAATTAAAAATGTTGATCTGGGTAAGGGGCACCCAAATACTTGAATTCGCTAAAGGAAGATTAACTCAAAGTATGTCATTTTCTAACGATAATTTTTTTCAGTGGCTCAGGTACAAGTCAAGTTTTGGATGAATTTTTTTAAAATAAAATGGTTTGCGATCAGAAACAAACCATAAAAAGTTATCAACTGTGTAAAAAAGTGAAATTCCATTATTTATGTTCAAAGAAAATCTGAAACAGAGCATCGTAAGAAGTTGTTTTCAAATTGAAACTCAGAATTTCGTGTCTGTATGAAGCAATTGATACTTGTAACTATAGCCTCATAGCGTTCACAGATGTTTGTACGTATGATTTTCTACTGCTGGTAAGTCTTTACCAACAGATTGATTATCCTTGCAAGGTGTCAACTCCGCTTCAGCAGTTTGACTCATGATTTGATCTCTACAAAGTACATAGTACTAAGATACAGTTGTGCTCTAATTACAAAATTTTTGTTTGATAATTTTGCACTACACCTTAATACAAAACAATCAATTCCATTACAAAAAATTATTTAGGTACTTAACTAGCATAATATCTATTTACATAATTGATGGTTTTGATGGTTCCTGACAAAGGTGTCCCGGAGTTCTTAGCAATTGCTGAGTGTTAGTTGGAATCTATATCCATCTAGCCCCTGATGTAGGATTTTATCTTCAGAATTGTGCTTTAATGCAATGCAAGTTTTGGAGTTAAATTTCCAAATTTTAAAGGATTCAATATGTCAACAATTAAAATTTGATTGGCTGACTTCAAAGTCGCTTGGCGTAATACTTCAGTTTGATGTCATTGTCGTTTATTTACTACAGAATTTTATCAACTTTTCCAGCCTATCAAACTGAAATCCTAGGGTAATTTTTTTTTTTTTTTAAGCATTGGCTATTTTTAAATGGTTAGATGGAATCCTGAAATTATACAGCTTTTCCAGAAAATATTAATCTCTCTCTCATGAATCAAAAATAATTTCCTCACTAGGTCTCCTTCCAAGGCGAAAGCTGTCATGAAGTGTTTTTTTTTTTTTTTTTTTTTTTTTTTTCAAAATTTGTTTTGGGTATGTCGTATCCCACAGGTGAATCTCAGACTTGCCATGAGGTGAGAACTACTTTCTGTCTCAAAAATTTGCAATGGATTATCCTCCCTGTAATTGTCATTATTTCCAATAGTAAGCTTATTTAGCAAGAAGCAACCATCTAATGGTTCCTACAAAGTTCGGTTTCTCAATACTCAATCTCATACTTTCCAACGGAAAATGAACCCTCCAGATTAAACTGTAAATCAAGCTTTTCCAAAGTTCCTCCGGAAATTTTTAGGATTCAATCTTTGCCTCAATATTTTCAAATGTGAAGGATGCGTTCTCTGGTCAGAACCAGACTCTTCTGTTTCTTAAGTTCTTTTACAACAATTAATTCTGTTATATATTCATCATGCGTAGTCCTACCAGTGATAACGCCTTTCTCCTTTGGCACTACAACTCTGAATGCTGGTAGTTTTGCAACTCTGCAATGTATAGTTAGTGTCGGCGATTTGCCTTTGAATATTGAGTGGTCGTATCCGGGAATGAATGAGCCTGTAGTCGGTACAACTGTCCAGCAAATCGGAGACAGAATAAAAATCCTCACCATTCCTGAACTATCGTACCGGCATGTCGGCAATTACACTTGCAGAGCCAAGAATGCCGCTGGACAAGCTGAGGTCACCACACCGCTTCTAATAAGTGGTACCTAATGACAATTGTTTAACAACTTTCGCATCGGCTTCGTTGTTCTCCTGGCATTTTTACTGTGGTTTTCTTTTATTTCATTCTTTTCTTGATTTTATTATTTTCGCAAGGTACTCAGTTGTTCATGTATGCTCCTGCAAGTTAGGATAAATCGGATGAAATTGTATATGTTAGTCAGCAACCCCAATGCACTACAATCTATCCTTCTACATTAAAACTTCGAAACATGTATTTTGGATTTGGAAAAAAAAAATCCTCAATTTTATGATTTATCAATTCAAATTCCTTCACCAGATCTTTGTATCAATATGTGCTAAAATGTAGTTTTGAAGAGAGTTCCTAATTCACTCCGAGTTGTAACAGTCTTAGAAATCAATTAGTTTGAATCTCCCGATAAATCGCTGTTTCTCTTCATTCTTGCCCAGCTTTACCGGTTATCAGTCCTTTCTCCTTTGGGAACCTGCCTCTCAGCGCAGGCAGTTATGCTACCCTTCAGTGCAGTGTCAGCACTGGCGACTCGCCTCTCAAAATTGAGTGGCTGTACCCAGACATGGACAATCCAGTTAATGGCGTATCCGTCCAGCAGTTTGGCGATCGTATGAAACTCCTGTCGATTTCCGAGCTCTCATGGCGGCATGTTGGCAATTACACATGCATTGCATCAAATCATGCCGGAAAAGCTGAGCTGACTACTCAGTTGTTGATCAATGGTACTTACAACTTTAGTTCCAGTGGCACTTGTTTCACGAAGAGTGACATCTGTCTGAATTTAGCCTTGGTCTCTGTGTCATGTTTTATCGCACAAAAATTCTTCCCTCTTGTCTGTTTTTACTCTCCTTTTTTTTTTTGCTCCATCATCCGTAAAGATAAAAGTTATTCCTATTCTGGTAAATCCGATGTTTCCTTTTCATATTATTTCTGAGAATTGAACAAATTTCCTCAACAGGAGCCTCGAATGGCTCATCCTTTAGGAAATGTCTCGATGCAGGGAAAGTATTGCCTATATGATGAGATCTTCAAGTTGATTCTCGTCCCTCATTTCCAGTATGTGTTGTGTTCCTGGTTTTGAATTTTTCTGTCTCCTCTCTAATTCGTTGGCAAGTGTAAATCAATTGAAGTTCTTGTCACATAACCAAGGGAAGAAGTTTTTGTTTTGTTTTGATCGGCTTGAAAACTCAGAAAGAAACGAATTCAAGAAATGCATCGTAAAAGAAAGAATTCAAGATATTTTGACTCTTTCTTCCTCTCACTGTTCGTTAAAAAGCTTTGCTAAAATCTTTGTTTTTGCTTTCTCTGTTTCCGAAATTGAACAGTTCCGCCTAGAATTCTCCCTTTCACATTTGGAGATACACCAATGAATGAAGGCCAGCTTCTTACAGTGCCTTGTGCAGTTATTGAGGGCGATGCTCCCATCTCCCTCCAGTGGCTTCATAATAATGAGCCAATCGCACCCCATCATCGCGTGAGCGTTGTTCAGATTGGGGATCGCAGCATGATTTTAAGCATCACATCAGTGAATGCTGATCATATCGGAGAATACTCTTGTGTTGCTAAGAATGACGCTGGGTTGCATAAGATTTCCGATTCATTGAATGTCAATGGTACTTTTTTGTTCTGTACTATTTTTGAGGCATTTGTCTTGCAGAGTATTATGTTTCGTTATTTCTTTTATATTACCAAAGTTTCTTTCTTCTCCCGGATTGATATTTTTCTGAATTTTCAGCCTTTTTTTTTTTAGGATAAACCATGTTTTTCCTCTATTTTTTTTGCCATCCAAATCCTTAAATACTATCCTTGTCCCTTTATTTAAAGGATTATTCCTATTTTCTATTTTATAAATCCCATTAACCTAATCTTTGTGTCGCAGTAAAACCGCACATCGCACCCTTCCAGTTTGAGACACCAATTAATGCTGGTGACACAATTCAGGTGACCTGTAATGTACCAAAAGGCGATAAGCCTCTGAGTATCATATGGCTTTTTTCTGGTGAGCCCATCACAGCTTACACCGGCATGACTTCCGCCATGATCGGCGACCGAATGAACTATTTGTCCATTCCTGTTGTCGGGCCATCTCACAGTGGGAATTACACTTGTGTAGCCAAGAACAAGGCTGGGCAAGAGTTCTACACCGCTCAGTTGCAAGTTGATGGTAGTACTTTTTCTTTATGCATTGCGGTTGACCTTTCGTCATGAAGTCTGTGTGGGGAATGCATTTTCTTTGAGATTGGACTAACTATTTTTTGAGCTGGTATGCACATTCATGCAACTTATGAAGGATAGTGAATTTATCAACAACAGAACATACATCACCTTCATTAACCAAAAGAAAAACTAAATTAAATGCTGTTAAATTGAGAAACTTGGGACTCTGAAAGAGTCCAAAAATTGTCTATTGCATTGTAGATTTATTGTATTATGAAATATCACAGAAGAACCACTTTCTTAAAGTACCATAATGAAAACATTAATTTCGGATCGGTAAAAGTTTAACTTTGAGAAAAATCTCCTTCTAAAATTATGTGATTGTGCTTATCAGAGGTTTCAGTTTAGCGAAGTCTTACTAATCTTGTAGTCAGTTTTCCTCCAAAATCTCCCTCATCATTCTGATTGATCTTTCCCAGAACTCCCTCACATCGTCCC